TCCTTTCTTGTGTGTTATGAGGCTTTTAAAATGTGTGCTGACTTAGGCAAGAGTCACAGTATTTCAGAAATTGCTTTGAAATTTGTTTCACGAGCTTCAGATTTGTTTATGGCAGTAACTTCTACAATATAAGCATTGTTAATATCCTTCTAGTGACACCAATAATTTAAAATAATTTAGTGACAGAGCACCATTATTTGCTGTCATAGGGAGCTGCATTTTGATGGTTCTGCCACCATGGAAAAGTCTGCCTTGGAAAAGGGATGCCTTTCATCAATTGTGGTGTGAACTATCCTTCTGTTACTGTTCACAGTTTTGAAACAAGAAGTACTGTGGAGTTAAAGGAAGTGTGGGATGTTTAAACAAATCTGGACAAATGTGTCCTTTGGATTGATTCAGAAAATGTTTAAATTATTTAGGACTTTCCAGTGCTTACAGCTAGGGTATGTATTGTGACAGAATGTTAAAATGTATTGTGGCTGTTAAACTTAATAGTGGCTATGGGGAAAACTTGGCATTTCTCTTGTAAGATTTAAACTGCAAACTAACTACCTTCCCGTAAGATGCTCAACAGCTGTGAGATTGTAACTGGGGCTATAAACTTAACCTATGTTTCAGAATTAATACAGAAAATAAAGTTTCTGCATCCTAATTACAGCTCAAGAACATTTCTATCCGCTTTGTAGTTAGTATTTTAGGGAGATTCTATTTTTGCTAATGAGATAGTCTTCTTTCAATGATTTTCATGTGCTAGTGTCTACTGTGAATGGTGATTTCATAAATTTTAATTATCATAGTGATAGTTTAATATTGCATATTTGCAGTAATGTGTGGATAGGGTTTATATAGCACGTAACCACTTGGGAAGTATTAAACATTTCAGTAAAAATTATGACTCATTGTGTGTGGGAGGCAGACTTCCTCCTCCCTCAGTATGCAAGGTAGTTTGTGCCTCAGGTTAGCAGCTATGTTCTGCTTAACACTGGCATAATCACAGTAACATTGCCAAACGATGAGCAAAGCTGATAATGCAGAGACTTGTCCAAACAAAAAAAGTGACCAGTCTTGAATCAGTTGTGAAGAAGTTACCCATGACAGCTTGGTCACTGTCCAGATTAGTTAATTCTTATGGTAGACTTTCTGTGAAATAATCTATGCAAGATAGCTTAGTTGTACAAGATCTCATTCAGAAAATATAAACCTGTTTCCTAAAACAGTAAGGTTGCAAAATTCTCATGCTGATTCTCATTTTGCTTTAAAATAAAAGGACACTAATGATCTGGCTTTTAACTTTGTCATCTTCTGCAACTGGTTTTTCAATACATGCAGCACTTAAAGAGATAAATGGGAGGTCCAAGTATAGGTGGAGTACTTCTGGTCCTGAAAAGACACAATTTCAGAAGGACTTGCTTGCATATTCTTTGAATATAGCTTGAGATTATGTTTTTATTTACGGTTTTAGCTAGATCGCTCGGTATCTTGTAACTGTTGTCCCTAAGGATGATACCTAACAAGAGGTTACTAAAGTGGTTGTTTCACTGTTATGCTTTTGTAAAGTCTCGTTTTTGGTGTTGCAAGGAAGGTTTTATGATACTGTTAGCATCAATGTCTTTAATATAATTATTTACTGAAGTAAGCTTTTCCGTGAGTGTTTTCTGCCTAACCGTCCATGTTCCTTTAGAAGGTTGCTAAATTCTGAAAGCACAGTGTGGCTGTGTTTTAATGAGGGCTGCAGCTTTGTTAGGGGCAAGTCGATGGTGAACATTAGTGTATTTTCTAGGTTTGAGAGGTGGAGCTGTGGGGGCAAGTTTTTGTAAATTCACCAGGTTTATGGTATCCTGGGAATATACTGAACCTCGTTTTAGGGCCAAAATGCACAGGTGTAGGTCTGCTCTTGTGAATATGTGCAAACCTAAGTAGTTGTTTCACTTAGTAGGACTTCCAGTATTTGATACAGCTTGTTGATGAACAAGACAGAGGAACAGCTACAGGTATATTTTTAATAGCAGTCAGTTCCCCAAGACAGTTTGCTGCGCATTTGTGTAATGCTACAACTGTGCAGAAGATGTGCTACAGTAATGACACCAGTAATTACATCGTTTGCAGACGACACCAAGCTGGGTGGAAGTGTCGATCTGCTTAAGGGTAGGGAAGCTCTGCAGAGGGATCTAGACAGGCTGGATCACTGGGCCAAGGCCAATTCCGCGAATTTCAGTAAGGCCAAGTGCTGAGTCCTGTACTTCAGCCACAACAACCACCAGCAGCACTAGAGGCTTGGGGAGGAGTGGCTGGAGAACTCCCCGGCAGAGAGGGACCTGGGAGCGTTGCCTGACAGCTGGCTGACCATGAGCCAGCAGTGTGCCCAGGTGGCCAAGAAGGCCAATGGCATCCTGGCCTGTATCAGGAAGTGTTGTCAGCAGGAGTAGGGAGGTGATCATTCGCCTGTACTTGGCTTTGGTGAGGCCGCACCTCGAGTACTGTGACCGGTTTTGGGCCTCTCTCTACAGGAAGGTCACTGAGGTTCTGGAGAGGGTACAGAGGTGGGCTACCAAGCTAGTAAAGGATTTGGAGCATGCCTTGTATGAGCAACGGCTGAGGGATCTGGGGCTGTTTAGCCTGGAGAAGAGAAGGCTGAGGGGAGACCTTATTGCTCTTTACAGCTACCTGAATGGAAGTTGTAGTGAGGCGGGGGTCGGTCTGTTCTCCCTAGTAACAAGTGACGGAACAAGGGGAAATGGCCTTAAGCTGCACTAAGGGAAGTTCAGGCTGGATATTAGGAAGAATTCCTTTACTGAAAGGGTTGTCAGGCATTGGAGCAGCTGCCCAGGGAGGTGGTGGAGTCGCTGTCCCTGGAGGTGTTCAAGAGACGGGTAGATGTTGTACTTAGGGATGTGGTTTAGTCGTGTTGATAGAGCTAGGACAAAGGTTGGACTCAATGATCTTGAAGGTCTCTTCCAACTGAAACTGTTCAATGATTCTATGCATGCAGGACTGCTCCTTTGTGGGGTCAGGTTCACCTTGTGTCAGTTTAATGACAGTGATAAAGATGCATGGCACATGCACTGTGTTAGTAGAAAGCTTTCCAAAGCTGTTTTTTAAGCTTTGTAATTGCTTGGTTGAGGCAACATGTTCTTAATTTTTAAAGTGAACAGATATAAACCAAAATCATGGATGTTTTTTAAGTGAAGTTCAGGCTGTTCAGTATTTTTCTTAGCTTGTAGCAAATAGCTTGGACTTACAGTTTATTTGCTTCGCACACTAAATGTACCCATTGAAATATTGTCAGCAACCAGATTTGGAGCAGTTGTGCACACACATTTGACATTTGAGCAGCCATGTTTAATTTTGATTGTGAAAATTGCTCAGTGCTAGTTTCCACATGGGGAAAAGCTTATTGAAACTATTGTGTTTGAGGAATAGTATAGGATCTCCACTGTAATATTTGATCATATACAGAAATGGGCAGACATAAGATTTTGTTTGGCTTAGCTTCGAGACTTCTCAACAGTGATTAATTGAAACTTTTGATTTTTTTATTATTGAAGTGTATAATTGCCAAAACAGGATTGCCTGTAGAATACAGCACACAGATGTGATGCTTTCCTTTAAAGGGGTAATAGCTATTTTTATCTTCAGTTTTTTAGTAACTGTTTATGTAAATAATAATTTCGTTAGAGAAGAAAGTTTCTTTGCCCTTTGCTTCATATATATTTTGCTCTTGTTAATTTCTTGATATTGGATGTTTTCACACTTCTTGTGTTTCCTGATTATGTGAGTTATTCAAACTGTTATGGATTAAACAGAATTGGAAACATCAGATGACAGATAAAACAATACTTTTGTCTGCTTACAACTGGTACCTATATTTCAGGAGCCTCATTCAGTACAAGATTGGTATTGTGGGTTTGCTTTATGACAAAAACATTAGTTTTAAATTCATTTTTATCATGGAAGTAAGTAGCAATGAAATTTTCTTTTTATATGTAGTATTCCTTCTTTCAAATAGATATCACTTTGCTTTTAAAGGAGAAGCTTTATTTCTGTCTTCAGGAGTCATCTTTGTAGGGATTAAGTTTTTAACAAGGAATCATTGAACAATATCTCAGGAAGGTATTTACAGTTTCTTTATTAAACTACAGGAATACAGTCTTTGCTGAGTTTGATAGTATATTTGTGACCTGACAGAACTTAAATAAAGATTGGCAGCTGCAAAGGAAGAACTGGAAAGAGGGAATTTTGAAAAAGCTGTGTGCCTTTTACTGTTGAAAAACAAAACTCCTGTACTGTTTATGAAAATGGCAACCATTCATTCGTAACGATAGGTGCGTAATTTTTTTTTTTTTTTCAGACCTCCTACCCATATAATCACTGTTAATGGCAAGGAATGTATAAACTTTGCATCATTTAACTTTCTTGGACTTCTGGATAATGAAAAGGTTAAGGTGAGTTCTTCCAGTTACTGTATTTGTGTGATTATTCCTTTTACTTTATATGTTATCTTGAAATTAAAATGACTTCAAGATGCACAAACTTTGTTAAGGAAGTATGCTTGTGAAGCAGCAAGGAAGCTTAAAGCTTGTAATTTTGTGCTAATTAAGTTTGTATTTTTACTAAAGTTCAATCTGCTGTACTTACTGCAGAGTAGCTGATTATCAGGTTAGATTAGTATCTAATGTCCTTAATCATTAGAATACAATGAATGATGCTTAAACACTTTAAATAGTCTAAAATAGTTTTGATGTGAAATTAATTAATAGAATTCAGTACATTATTATAATTTCTGTAAAGCAGAATTCATGTTATATGATGCAAGAACTGGCTGTGTACATTGGTATAAAGTTGTCAATGTGAAGCGTATAGAAGAGTTAGAGTTCTAGTGTAGAAATAAATATTTCATTTAATTCTTCTCTGTTAAAGTGTGCAGCCCAGGCATCTCTGAAGAAATATGGTGTTGGCACTTGTGGACCTAGAGGATTCTATGGTACTTTTGGTGAGTAACTTTCTTTGATCTGCCTTTAAAGTTGTTCAGACTGGTTTGGTAAGCCAGCCAAAATAGTCCTATACATAAGCAGCAAATTATTTCTATCCCTGTGAAGAACAGTTACCCTCTAAGACGCTTCTTGCTGTAATTGTTAAAGATTACTCATTTTATGTGTTTCCTTAGTCTTTCTGCTGCTGGTCTTGGAGGAGAATTGCAAAGTTAAATATAATCTGGTTTAGTTCTGGTCACCATAGTAGAGAGAGAAAATAAACATATTGTAATTTAATCATGCATGATGAATTTAAGTGTAAATTAATAATAAGTTTATAAGTAGACCACAAGAGGGCAGTCTGATTTCTATGATAAAGATTATTAGTTAAGTTTGTCTAATGCTGTGGTCAGCATGAAGTTTTCCTTTACTGATAACTTTGATCTTGCAACTAAGATTTTATGATGCAAGCAGGTGTTACTAAGGGTTTTTTCATTCTTTTTAAGAAGTAGCAATTTCTTAAAGATCAGCGTCTAGCAATAGTTCTTTACAGGCACTGGTATTTTGAAATACTGCATGGAAACCAAAGAGTAATGCATGAATAGCTGCACTGTTGCAGGCTAAAACCATTGACTCATCATCTTGTGCTTTCCTGACTCTTCCCTGAGGAGATGAATTTCACAGAGTGTGTATTCAAATGATTTCATAGACTTAGCTTCCTGTAGCCTTGGCTTGAATTCAAGACTAACTTCAATTTTTCTCAGTTAATCAAGCTAGTCCTTTAAGTGATCAAAGAGGTGCTGCACCTATTTTGATTTGTTAGAAATCTATATATCAGAACAAAGTTGAGTTTTTGATATCAGTCTTATAGTTTGTTAGTCCATAATTAATTTCCAAAGAAGGTAGTGGTAGCCCATTGATTAGTAGAGAGCTTTTAGGAAGCTGGATTCTCTTACTGATCACAGGTCAGTAGTGATCTATTGGAATTAATACAGCTGCTTTTCCTTTTTTTTTTTCTTTTTTTTTTTCTTTTTTTTTTTCAAAAACACTGAAAAGCTCAAAGAAGCTTGTGGACTAATGCCTCCTGCCTTTTGACTCCAGGCTGATTTTAAACTTTGTGAAATCTTTCACTTTGCTTCTTTATAGTAATTATTCAAAACACATTGGTAAAAAGTTGATTTTCTCTGATAAGTGGGAGATTCTTTGGGTTGTTTCCTGCGCTCTTTGGAGGTCTAATCCTAAGATCCAAACTGTATAGCTTTTGCATTTAGTTTGGTTGCTGTTCTTTGGCTTCTGAATTTTTTGGGTAAATGCTCCATTTCATAAAGCAGGAAATATAACCTGTGGTATTGCTGCATGACGTTGCTAGTGAAGAAATGGATGTTATGCTCACCTATTTGATATATTTGAGATACCATCTTTTACAGATAAAATAATGGAAAATTGATTTAAAATTTGAGACAAACACTTGCGGTTCTTGTTGGATCTCAGACTGTCTTCCCATTTTCCCTTGACTTTAACCATTTGAGTATTGCAGGATTATGAATCTCTGATAAGAAACACTTCTTACATCAGTAGTGTTGGATACCTCAAACTTTTCACAAAATATTTCATGGGCTGTGACTTTGGTAAATGAGTCGTGATGTGTCCAGAACTACATAGTTTCCTCTTACTTAACTGTATAGGATTTAATTGATGATTGTCAGTTGTTGTCAGTCAGAATTATTCCTTCTTGGGGCTGATATATCCATATTAGAGATGTCTTCATTTGGAAACATAGATATTATGTTATAATTCATTTTGAATGGAGACTTGATTCTTCATATCTCTGCCTGTTTGAAAAGATTTCATAGATTTAGTGAGGCTGTATTAAGACATTTTTGCTTTGTGCTGTATCCCTGAAAATTGCATTAATGTCTTTATCCTGTGACAAGCTTGAAATACAAGTATATTCACACATAAATTAGTCTTGATGGGTTTCTCCATAATGACGCTTCAGCGGTGTATCACTTTTTTGGTGGTCAGGTTTTTCTAAAGTTATTGTTGATTGACTAGCAGCCAGAATTTCAGTACTACTGTGAAGATCGGGACTGACTATCCAATAAAATACATGAAAGATGATGTGGGACTTGGTCTCAGTTCTTCTGCTTTTGACTTGCATTCAAGTACATGCAGGGCACTAAAGTGGCACTTCATAGCAGTGGTTGACAATAATAGCTTTATTAAGGTTTTGTAATAATGTAGAAAGCTGTTCCAATCATATCTTCCTCTGTACAAACGTATGTAGGTAGTGTTTGCAGGTTTCACTTAAGGTAGGCTCATCCAAGTGATGTAAGCAGACTAAAGCAAATTGTTGCAATAAAGGAATCAGATAGTATTTTGTTTTTATCACTATGGAGTGGTAGTGAAGCCTTAATTAATTGTGAGGTTGAAAAGCTTAAGACAGTATTATGCAAAGCATTCATACCCTTGTGTAATGACTTATCAAATTTGTATATGCCCTGTGTCATTCTGAACTTAAATGTTCTTGCCTGTGGCAAAATTTACTAGGCTTGTAATTTTTTTTTTTCCTTAACACAAATCTGATTATATTCATCAGCTTGTTATTGCTGGCAGTATTTATTTCACCTACTGTTTTTACTTAGCTCTTACTCAGTGTAGTGGTGGTTGTTGCTGAGTGAAAAGCATGCAAGTTGCCATTTTTAACTGTGATGTCATCTTTAACAACTTTTGTTCAATAATTGCATCAAAGTCCATTCTGTTTTGAGGCCTAATTGGAAACTGTTTCATTGGTCTGGAAGTCCATGTAACAATAAAGAAAAAGATACACAGATTGTGAAGAAGGACTACTTAAAATCTCTATCAGAAAGTAGATTAGATCACTGCAGTCAGTATCCTTCCTTCCAAACACTTTGGAGAAGAAAGGCTGTTCTAGGTTTCTTTGAATGTTTGGTATATCTAATTTAGCTGGATCAAAGTGGTATATAGCAAAAGAAAAGACAACTTTCAAATAATAAGTGATTAAACTTTTTGTTTCCATTTAAAACCAGTGGAAAACCAAATAAAAGAATTCCTTTCGCTTCCATTTTTTTTTTTTTTGATGCTCAGGTAAGCATTAGGAAAGGATTGTTGAAGATTTATAATTTGCATTCTATGGATAAAATTGCTCTTGACTGCGATTGGGAGGCTGTTGTTTGAAGATGTACCTTTTGCTTTTATTGTATAAATATATGAATCAGGTGGATGTGCCCTTTTGGAGAAAGGTTATGCTAGATATTTAAGTATGGCAAAGTTAAGACTTTTACAAAGCCCTTTTTTCCTACACCCTTGCTGTTGGTACCCAGCTAGAAATAGCAACACTGACATAACAGTGATTCATAGGCTATTGAAGAATCCATATTTTTAACTGATGTTGCCTCATTTGATTTTAGTTTCAATGAACTTTCAATAATTGCAGAAAGGTAACATTTGGCCAATGGTGGTCTTTCAAGTCACTAAGGACCTCTTATTTGCCCCTTAATATATTATTTCCAGTTGATAAAAGGCATATTTCTCTGACTAATATTTGCTAGCAGAAGCAGGTAGTGGCAAGAGTTACACAAAATAATAGGTTATTTTGCTTAGGCAGAAGACTTAAGGCTAGGGTCACTGTTCTCAGCAACAATCCACTCACTCTTCTTAATCTTTTGATTTAGTGGTGTTTTTTTTTCTAATGTGGATCACTTTGACCAGATTGGTTTGGGAGATGCTTGTGTGTGTGTGTCAATTTATCTTAAGGGTGAGTAATCTCTGGTATGGAGATGGGGACCTTTCTAATTGGTTGAAGTGTGTTCAGGAGACTGTGTGTCATTGCAGCCTGACAAGAGCAGTTTTCTGTTAAAATGATGGCTGTGCTATATGCAGTGGAAGCATCAACTTGGAAGAACTGACAGTCTGCCAACAGGACCCTATTAATTGCTATAAATTACATAGCTATTTGTTGTCTGACTGTAGTAACTGTGCTCCTGAGTCACAGTGTAGGAATGCTAAGTCATTTACTTGTGGTGTAATTACAAGTAGGTTTTAATTACCATTGCAGAAGAACATGCGAGAACCACGTTACATAAATATTTTCAGATCTTTCAAAGCCTCTGATTAATATTGGGTTACTTGTTAGTTTAAGTAAGGCTGCATTGGTTGCAGCTGGTTTTTGGAAAGTAATTTGTTGTAACACTCTTCCTACAAATAAACATTCTGTTTGCTTCAATTAGATGATACGATAGTCTTTCTGATATGAAAACAAATAAACTATCTAAGATCTTTATTTTTTTTCTCAAATAGATGTGCACTTAGAATTAGAAGAACGACTAGCAAAATTCATGAGGACAGAGGAAGCTATTATATACTCATACGGATTTGCAACAATTGCCAGTGCTATTCCTGCATATTCGAAAAGAGGGGACATTGTGTTTGTGTAAGTATTGTTTTCTGCTTGGGAAATTCCAGATTAAAGAGTTTTCCTTTCAGTTTTTCTTTTTCATTATTGTTAATTGTACCAAGTTAACTGTTTAGAAAACATGCTGGTTTTGTTCAAGTATTTTGTCATACAAAGCTCAAATATCTTTTTTTTTTTTTTTTTTTTTTTTTTCCCAAATACTCCAAATCAAATCAGTTACTGCTTTTATGTGGAAGAGCAGACTTGGGCACTCAGCTGAAAATAAAACAACCCAAACTTGTGCATGCCAGAACTAACAGAAGTCTAATACCTAGTTTTCTTCTTAAGGAACTATGCAGTCATACTTGCTTTTTTCCTTTACTGCTGACAAGAGGAGGGTTTAGATTTAGTAGTAGTTGATGGATTTTTCTTAAGCCTTCCTATTCCTTTAGTACCTTTGTAAGTCTTTAATATCCACAGGGCTTCTATGGCATGTAATTTCACAGTTTAACTTGAACATTTTATGAAAAAATATGAAGAAGTACCTGTTTTGAATATAACACCTACTAGTATCAGTTGATGCATTTTATTTTTACACAGGGAACTGATATATCTTCTCCATGGCCAGAGTGAATGAGTGGCTCTGTGGGGTTTAGCTGCCTGCTGGGGTTAAGCCACAACACAATGATACTTTTGTATTTGTCTGCCAAAATCTTTCTTCATTACTGTCTTTTCTAAGTGTAAGGCTTGCAGCCTATTTGACTTCTTTTATAGAAGTTCTTTCATAACTTTGATCATATTTTTTGGTCATTTTTGAATGTTTCCCAGATTAGCTTTTTTGAGATGAACAACCAGGATTGTGTACGCTATTCAAGATGGCTGTGTATCCTGGATTTAGCCATCTTGTACTGTTTCAGTTTCTCACTGACAAAAGATCTCACCATATTTGAAAGCAACTTGGTTGAATTTACTGCATTTAGCATGTGCAGAAGGTTTGGTTTAGTTGCCATTTTTAAAAGGTTACTCAACTTAAGCAGCTGTGAAATTGCCATACCCTGTTATGCTCGGCGATTTGCTTTTCCAACGCTTAAAAATGGCAGATAGTTCTTTGAATGCTGAGGTAGTAATTCACAAAGGATATTAAAAAGCAGGTTTTGCATACTTGGAGGACTACTATAAATGTTAGAGGGACATCTCTGCACCTCTTTTCTAAGACCCAGAGGTCTTAGAGTCAGAGGTTTCTGGGATGATTACCATGCTACTGTACCTGATCTGTGGAATGCTGTGCTCAAATAAGCTGCTGTCACATACAAACGAAACGACCAGTGTACACTTTAAAAAAATAACTGTTGGCTTGCTTTTAGAGACTATACTGCATAGGAAAGTTTTTAGAAGCTTTGGAAATGAGTTTTCAAAATGAAAATAAAACATATGATGCTTTGATAAATCTGGTTTAAGTACACCTAAGTAAAATTATCTGCTCAAAAGCAGGACAGTCGTTATAGCCAGCTTTCTTTGAATAATTTTTAAACGAAGTGCAAACTTAGAAGGGCTTGCTGTATTTACAGAGATGAAGCTGCCTGCTTTGCTATTCAGAAGGGATTACAAGCATCTCGTAGTAACATCAGGTTATTTAAGCATAATGATATGGCTGACCTTGAACGACTGTTGAAAGAACAAGAGACTGAAGATCAAAAGGTACCATTCCTTTGAAGAAATATTTGTACTGTTTTGTGCCACCTCCCCCACCTATTTTTACTGATTGGTGTAATTGAATGGATGCAATGCTTATAGGCAATTGTTTTGGTTTTCGTAAATCTCTATTGAGCAGGTAATGTTGCTTGTGTAATTAAGATCGCTTTTTCTTAAAAATAATATTTATTTATTTATTTGTATTTTTCTGCATAACCACTGGAAGTGAGCTCACAGGCATTGGTAGTGGGGGAATATCTTTACGGGCAGGTGACTGAAGTGTGAGATTTTGGGTTTTTCTTGAAATACAGAGCTTTTTTTTTGTCTTTTAGAAATTTGTATAACTGCATTCACCTAACAAATCATGCAAGTTAATTATCAGTTTGAATGCCATACCATAAAATGAACACAAAAGCGGCTAGTCCTAATCCTTTAATTTGTAGAATAAACGTGATGATTTTATTTTTTTCCCTCAGACTCTTCCCCCATCTTGCACTCAACTCTTAATGTGTTTTCTCTCTTGAAAAATTTGGGTCAG